TCATATAGTCAATGCGGATGTTGTTAACATTAATAATTTGAGAAAGTATAACTAATAATAATTTGCATGGTTTGATGTGATATGAGCTAACCGATTTTTAGATTAAATCATATGGCGCCATTTATTGTAATGCTTTTTTCCTCAGTTGGTCAGAACAACACAACACAACAGATATACAGTGAAAATTCTTATGTGTCATAAATTCAAATACATAGGCTAGATTCTGTGATTGCTAAGTACAGTAAATATCCACACTGGTGCGGTGACTGACTGCCACACATACTCTTCAAAACATTAGATTCATCTGTGCTGGAGCCGTGCCGGTTCGCAACCCAGGCAAGGAAGATAATTCCACAAACAGCTGCAATTGCAGGTTTTCAAGCAGAGATGGCGACAAAGAGGCAAAACTTATGGACTAAAGCTTTAAATATTGCCATAATCCCACCAAAATCCGTTGCCATGACTTGTCGCGAGAGGAAAAAATTACGTTTTTGTCGCATAACATCGGTTAATGGAAATGCTGTCATTTCGCAGTACTTTTTTATCGACATTTATAAAATATCGCCAAAGTTTTGCGCAAATCTGTAATGGAAACGCGCCTACAGTTTAGATTGTTTATGATTATTTGCAAATCGCCTTTCCTATTAATATATTTAAAAGTATAGTGCCCTAATGGAAGCAACTTGGGATTTCTGTGAAATAGTTCTTTTGTCTAAAAGATATAACTTTATGAAAAAGCTTTAGGTGTGTTCGACTTAAAGCAGACCGATCGGTGTATGACATCTAAATACCGCGAGAGCTGTCTGCTCTCACAGTACTTTGTTATACACCGATCGGTATGAGGTGCGTTTCCCAAAAGCAACTATGGTCGCAGGTTCTGTCGTTAACAATAGAGTTAAATGGAACTAATGACCATAGTTAGCTAACGATCGTTTTGGGAAACAGCACAGCACTGCTTCAAGTCGAACACAGCTTTTGTGTTAGGAATGGCGAGTGCCGGTGTACCGACGAAACATGCTACCTATCAGATTGTGCTACCAAAAATATATTTGCATATATGCAAGGGTAAGTTTAGGGTAAAGGTAGGTATGGACGGGTAGGGGTAGGTATGGACATTAAAAAAAGCCTCAAACCACATGAACAAGATGTTGGTAGCACAATCTGATAGGTAGCATTTTTCGCTTTCGATTTGTGCTACCTATCTTTTTAATGGGAGGTAGCACAATCTGAGCAGGTAACACAAATCGTCAGAACACTGGCATTAGCAGAGAAGAGAGGGGCGGGTGAGCAGCAGCTCATTATCACTTAAAGAGACATGCACTGAAACGGTCGCTGTGAACAGAGCTGTTTGACAAGATAAAAGGGTGTTGCTTTACATGACCATTGAGGAATTTTAACCAAAGTATGTTGCAGACATTTCATGAAGACCCTAAAAAAATCATACCAACTTGTGGAAAATGGGCATCCGATTTGCCCTTTCAAGATATGTAATTCACAGAAGTAGAGCTATTTGAATATTTGTTTTTTTGACTTCAGGAGTCCTTCAGTAAGATGAAACCTGTCATGCCAATAAATACTGTAACCTCTACAAGCAACAACACACCTACCCCAAAACATCGTGCCCCCAAACCTGCTCCCTCAGAGTCCAGCTCATCAGCGAAAACCAGTACTTCCAGTGGTCCAGCGCAGACAATCACCAAGATCCCTTGCTCTCAGTGTTTGAACTCATTCTTCCACAGACCAGAGCTGCTGGAGTTCAAGGTACTCTTATCAATAATCAGATACCGACTATCATTATTTTAAAGCCAATATACATATAAAGCCGATATATTGGCCATTTATTAGATAGCAGTCTACATTTTGTGAAGCTGGTTACCAAATTAAAAGAAAAAGTAAGAATAAATCTAATGTTAAAAAAATGTTTTTGCTATGGACAAAAATCTTGAAGAAAATATTAGTTTTATTCCATATTTATTTTTTGTTTAACCGCTAGACCAGCTAGAAATAAAGTGAGATGTTATTTATTAATTATGAGTCTTAAATATATTAGCATATTTGACTAATTAGACCAGTATCAACAACTTTAACATGGTCTAATAGTTTGGGCAAAATCGATAGGACTCCTGATATATCACACATTTATATTTGTATTATAGAGTTTATAATTAACATTCTTACAGTTTAATAATCTAAACAGTAGTTTGTATTTGTCAGCGATTGAGCAGTTGACCTTAAACCTAACCTAACTTGCATGTTTTCTTGACCTTTCAGAGGAAAATGTACGCTTTCTGCAATAATAGTTGTGTTGAGGAGTTTAAACAGATCAACAATGTCATGGCTCGCTGTGAATACTGTAAGATTGATAAAGTTGTCAAGGAGGTGAAAAGGATAAACAAGATTGACCGCTCTTTCTGCAGTGAGGGTAAGTACTAAGAGCAAAATAAAGATACTATTAGCTGGTAGTTTTTCTTTTTGCTTCAGACATGCATGTCTTGATCAAGCTGTGGGTTATGACATCACAATTACTTGTTTGTTCATCCCTGTACAGGATGCAAGTTACTGTATAAGCATGACCTGGTCAAGCGCTGGGGGAAGAAACACTGTCGCAACTGCTTTTACTGTAGTGGATCCGCTCAGGCTCTGGTGACTGAAGTTATTGATAACGTAGAGCATGAGTTCTGTGGGAACATATGCTTATCACAACACACCTTACTGATGCGTAAGGTAATATTTTATCCCTTGGTTTATTCTGAGAAACAATTTGCGAGGCTGTTTTTTGCTGCAGCGTTACTTTTAAGACTTTATGTCGTGGATTTGGCTTTCAACTCACAGCAAGTATATTTTTGACAGGAAATAAAGTGCTCCATGTGCAGGCAGGCCAAGAAGATGATGACGGAGACTGTGAAATGGCTGGGTGAGATCAAGCATTTCTGCAGCTTGCAATGCTTGATGTTCTTTTGCAGTCTGCAGGGAACCACTGGGGCAGTCAGACCTGCAAACAAGACTTTGTCCACACAAGGTATTTCTTCCTGTAGATTTATGAGGATATTTGTCCCTTTTGTCTCTGTATCTTATGACTGTTAATCTTTGGGTGATTGTTTTCCTCAGGGACAAGCCCAGCACCATCTCCAGGCCCTCAAACTCCAGTTAATCACACACCACTGGTAACTAAAGAGGCCACACCGGTCATTGCCAGTATTATATCACTCTCAAATGTGTCCAATGGACAGCCAGGTGTTTTGGGGAACAGCGTTCTGCAAGGTGACTAACCTCTTTTTACTTCTTAATCATCTCTGTATATTGAGGGATGCACACTGTATTAGTGTTGGGCGATATGCTCTATTGTCATATCGTCCTATCGTCAGCCTGTGAAGTCGCCAATACACAATACTATCATGCTAATTTATTTAATTAGTTACTTAGTTTAATTACCGGAAAGTGAACCAACACCAGCATAAGGCTAAAAGCAGCCTAATGTTTTTAATATGACTGAATTTGTATTTAACATAACATTTTAATACAAACACAGTAAGTTACTAATTATAATGCTTTTACATTTCCTCAGTTATTCAAAAAGCAGCTACAGAAAGCGAGCAAAGAACATTTACATTACCAAAGAGCATCATCTAGCGCGAGTATGCTCTTTTAAAAACACTCCCGTTATAATCAGTGATCACTATCTACACTGTATGATGAATAAATCTCTTGCACTGCACACATCTGTGGCGCTTTATGGCTCTGACACAGCCACCGGAGCTGATCGCGGCCACTCTTTCAATGCTCGTTTTTATACCAGGTTTTAATATGACTGAATTTGTATTTAACATAACATTTTAATACAAACATAGTAAGTTACTAATTATAATGCTTTTACATTTCCTCGGTTATTCAAAAGGCAGCTACAGAAAGCGAGCAAAGAACATTTACATTACCAAAGAGCATCATCTAGCGCGAGTATGCTCTTTTAAAAACACTCCCGTTATAATCAGTGATCACTATCTACACTGTATGATGAATAAATCTCTTGCACTGCACACATCTGTGGCGCTTTATGGCTCTGACACAGCCACCGGAGCTGATCGCGGCCACTCTTTCAATGCTCGTTTTTATACCAGGCGCGCTGCGGCACGTTTATGAAGCATTCGATTAGCACTAGCAGCTCTCCACGCTGCATCGCTAAAGATAGGTGCCTAGTCCATTTTTGATGGATAATAATAATAGTCTTGTTATCGTCAAAGGCATCAGCAACAGGCTCATCGATACACAATACTATCGTCTATCATCACAACCCTACAGTGTATACCATATTTTATGAAGATTTATTATATTTATTTTATTAAAGTATGAATGTATATTATTTGTATTAATTTCTTTATTATTATTATTATTTTAGGAGTTGATTTTATTGGATATCTACTATCAAGTTATAATGGATTCTGTGCATGCTCATTTCTCTCTTTACATTTGTATTACTTTTGCCATTGTCTAGCAGTCATGTAATAACTATAAATAAACTAACTAGAACCTATAAATAAATGGAATCTTTAGCAAATCTCAAAATGAATATTTATTTTGTTCATTCTATAATATTGTGATTACTTAAATTTTTGTGTGTATTTGGATAACATCATGTTGAATTTTATCAGCCATAAAATGAAAGTAATTATGAGCTAATCAGATCTGTCAGAATTTTAATATCAGTGCCTAAACACGTTGCTAGTTACATAATTATGACATCTGTTGTCAACGCTCTTTTTTTCTTTAATAGTTTTTTTGGCGAACTGAGGAATGAATCAACTATTTTCTGTGACGCATCTCTCACGTTTACCTTTTTGTTTCCTCAGCCTCTGTTCCAGCTGCTACAGCAAAAAGTTCAGGAAATGTGAGTTTTTCACAATATCAATAATCCAGCTGAAGTTCCTTTTGAAATGTGAATGAAAATCAACCAATTATCAATCGTTCTCTGTGTTGTCAGGCGGCCAGCACACAGACAGACGGTGCGAAGGCTTCTGCGCCAGCACCTCGAATCCTAAAGAACAAAGCCTTGCTTTGTAAACCATTAAGTCAGAACAAAGGCACATCTTGCAAACCCAATGTCTGCGACATGAATACACAAACAGGTACTAGGAAGCACTGTTGCAGACATGTTTCTTTTGGGCATTATGTATGCTGACACTCCCATGTGTCGGCATATGCATCATCATGTGTCTCTTGACAGTGAACATAACAAAGGTGAAAATGAGAGGAGGCACTTGTTATAAATGTCATGCTTGCCTTTTGTCCTTTAGATGGACCTTCCGTGATAGTACTGCCTGTGCCAGTGCCAGTCTATGTTCCACTTCCCATGAATCTCTACACCCAATACACTCCGAAGTCTGTGGGGCTTCCGCTTCCGGTGTGTATCTCTACCACTTTTGTCCTTATACTCATCTTTGAATATTAAAACGATTAAAGCTGTATACATATTTGCTACCAGAATCAGTATGTTAATCTATTAATGAGTGTTACAATATTTTCATTGTTAATGAAAACTAAATAAAAATATTTGTTAACTGAAATAAAAAACTAACATGGAACTCTAAACAAAAATGTATCACTCAATTTGAAATAATAGTATTATGACTAAAATAACAATAGATGACGGAGAAATTTAACCCTGTTACACATTTTTAAATGATGACTCATTAAAACAAAAACTGAAATCTGAAACTAGAAAACTAAGTAAAGGAAATAGTAGTGAATCCTAATGAAAACAAGACAAAATGAATAAATAAAAAATAAACCCTACATGTTTAAGGATAAAGTATTATAATCTCGAATCAATGTAATCATTTCAAATGAATTGCAGATCATAAATTAGATTCACAGGCATCCCAAAGACTCTCTGAATCATGTGTCTCTTGTCTGTTTATGCAGGTTCCGGTGCCTTTGTTCTTCCCCACTACTCTGGACAGTGCTGAGCGCATTGTGAAGACCATTCAGGAAATCAAAGAGAAGATCCCTGATGACCCTCTGGAGGCCGACCTCATCATGATGGCAGAGATGGTGGCTGAGGATGCAGAGAAGGAGAGAAGCATGATTGTTACTGGTAAATTAGGGACAGTTGGAAGGTTTTTAATGTTCCTACAACTTCTGATATTTTTAGTTAACACACTGATCGACTTGATCAATTAACTGGTTCTCGCCATGAATATAGCCATAGATGGTGGAATGACGTTAAGGAAATAAACAAACAAACAAACAAATACACACACTGTTCGAACAGAACTTGGGTTGTTTGGGCACTGCACAGGCTTTAAACTTTAAGAGATGTAAAAAAATATTGCAGGTGCACACACATTTATTTTTGTTCACAAGCCTCCTGTTTTGTTATTCAGATCAGACTAGTAACATAATGGACGACCTTGATCTGGAAGCCTTATCTAGCAATCTGAGTTGGGAGGAGGACTCTGTGTCTTCTGCCCAGACATGGGATCAAACCCCTGAGCCTGAGAGGCCTCCTCCATCCAGATCTGCCACACTGACCCCCGTCTCCACCGCAGCAGAAGAGCCACAGATGGACTTGGAGGCCGATTTCCCAATGGGTAAGTGCTTCTGCTGTGGTTAAGAGGTGTAAACATACAAGCACAATAAAAAATTTTTATCGTCTTCCATTCATATTTCATGCATCTTTATCTTTTCATATTTCAGAGAGCATTGAGCTTTTCAGAGAGCCGACACAAACGGAGACAACAGATTCTGGCAAACGGAGATCTCGCAAGAGAAAACATGACGGCTTCCCTCAGAAGAAAAGGGTAAGAACAGCTAAAGCAGAAATTTTCTTGACTTGCCACCATAATTTCCACTATAACACTTTAACTTTTGGAAACAGGAAAACATCATATTAGGGTTTTGTGATATATACCAGTTTATTTTTTCTACGGCTTTATTTTGAAAGCGTTTCTATCGTTATGCAAAATGTCACTACATGGTAGGAATGTTTGTATTTAGCCACAGCGTCATTTTCAGAGGACAGGTGGAGCAGCAACAGGTGCCCATCAAACATGCAAATAGAGCCATGTTGCCATCCTGATCTGGAGATTCTTCCTCCCTCGAAGAAGCGGCTGGAGCTTCTGTTCACACAGAGTCGGAGGCGGCCGGATCGCTATGGTTGCTTGTTGTTCCGTGCTGTTTTACCCCAGAAGAAGTATAAGGAGTAGGCGTCCAATATCAACTGGGATGGTGCGAGGGGCAAATTTGCATTGCCTGTGAACCTACCCCACTTTATCATTAAGACTGTTTCCCAGAGGTTCCCCTGCATAACCAACAGTGATCGAAAACGCATCAAAGACAGAGTCAATGAGTTCTTGCGCTCACCAAGAAACAATGTTGGCCACAAGCTTCTAACATCTAAATATTTTGATTTAATAGATTAAGTACTTAGTTCGAAAACCTGATTTTGTCTTTCATTAGAAACCCTTAGAGACTCAATTATTCAAACTGTTAATATTGTGATACATAACCTCAAACATATAGTGTATTATATTTTAATTTAAAATTGAATGTGACTGTGATAAATCAGCCTAAAACAAAATAAAGCTGAATCCAGTTTTATCAGTCAGTACTGTCATGTGATTGCTTTAAAACCCATTTTCATCTTGTCATAATGGTAGCATGTGCAAAGTAAACCAGACCACTTTATTGAGGTTTATAAGCTGTGGCTTCCATCTTTAATGTTGTTCTGATGATTTGTACTTGATTCTTCAATATGTTGTGCATGAAAAGGGTATATTTATAAGTGCAGGAATATACTAACATTTTCAACATTATACAGATTAAATGTACACTACTGTTCAAAAGTAAGATATTTTTGGAAAGTCTCATCCACCAAGGCTTTGTTTGATCAAAAATATAGTAACTATTTTGGGTTTGAATATATTCTTAATGTAGTTTCATCCTGTGATGGCAAAGCATTTAGCAGCCATTACTCTTGACTCAAGTTTGACATGTTCCATCAGAAGTTATTGTAATATGCTGATTTGTTGTTCAATAAGCAGCATTATTATCATCATGTTGAAAACAGTTGTGCTGCTTTATATTTTTGTGGATTGTTTTTTTTGTTGGTGTGTAGGGCCGTAAGAGTGCAGCTGTTGTTCCAGTCAAATCAGCGCTAGACAACCTCTCTAGCCTCTCAAAACTGCAACACGAGTATGCTGTAAATGCTTGGAAGGAATGGGTACGCTGGAGGAACGCCCAACCCAACATGGAGACTCCCAAATTTGGCTGTAAGTCTTTTTATCCAGCATTTCGTCACAAAAGAAAGTTCCACAATTATACATACAATTATAAAATTAACTTTATCTCATTGAAACCGATTTGGAAAAATGCACTATTACACTTTCTCACCAATGGATGCTCTGCAGTGAATGGGTGCCGTCAGAATGAGAGTACAAACCGCTGATAAAAACATCACAATAATCCACAAGTAATCCACATGACTCCTGTCCATCAATTAATGTATTGTGAAGTGAAAAGCTGCATGATTGTGAGAAACAAATCCATCAATAAGATATTTTAAACCATCACTTCTGGCCAAAATACAAGTCCATGATCCATAATAATGGTTCCTCCACTGAAAAAGTCCTTCCTCTGTTTTTCTTCACAAAAATATTTCAGACCATTTTCACTTGTAAATGGTGCATATATGTGGTCTGTGCATATATTTCTCTTTTGAATCAGACAAGACTTTTTT